AAGTGTCAAGTATGGCAAAATGCTCTTCTACACACAAGTCTGCTGGTCCTGGCCGACTCGCTCGACCTCGAAATGGCCTAGGTCTGTCCTGGAGGTGAGCTTTTGAACGAGCGAGGACTGGCCGAGGGCGCAGGACAGGGAGTCGGCGTCCCCAACGTTGTCGACGAGGAACTTCGTCGATTCCGCCAGCTCCTTCCACCTTGTCCTCCACCTCCAGCCTCCTCTACGGTGCCTTCTGAACCTTCTCCTCGTACGTATTGCTTTGTTGCACTCCCTTCCGGGCGCGCGCCACAGGCTGCCGTCCACCTCCAAGTCTTGCTAGATCTTGAGGCCTATGCAGGTGTCGCCCTTGATCTGCTTGAACGTGGGGTCCGCGGTTGGCAGCTCCGAGGCCTTCACACTGGCCCGCTCGACGTCGTCCGACTCGCCGTCGACGTCGCTGTCGCACTCCTCGGTCTCCTCCGCAGCCTCCTCCAAGTCATTCTCGTTACCCGTCATGCCGATGGCGAGAGGCTCCAGCGCGAGAGAGAGTGTTTCCGGAGAGGCGTGGAATACCTGCACGACCTCGCCAACCGCCATAGCCTCGTCGTCCAGCTCGTCGGTCCCCTCGGTCGCCTTCGGGCAATCTCCCAGGCTGCGCCACCTTGTACATGCCGAGGCCTGGCCATTGCCCTTGCCGAAGTAGTATCCGCCGGCCTTCACGTCGTCCACGGCGGCCACCACTGGCTTCACCTTGGACGCTGGATCCGCGTGCGACGTCATGTCGCTGTCGGGTTCCATAGTGGCCGCCGTCGGTTTCACCTTGGCCGCTTCGCTGAACAAGCCCTTGCCTTTGCCAAGGTAGTAGCACTGGTTCAACAGACTGGCCATGCTATCGTCCTCGGGGTCATCCTTCACGCAGAGGCCTTCAAAGATGACCATGCGCATGCGCCACATCTTCAGGGTGAAGTAGTTCGCTTCTGCACCCAAGAACCCCTTAAGCTCCGACAGGATGCTGTACAGGTGCACCCTGGAGCGGACCATCCGCATCATGTGCTCCAGCAGATCTTGCCCCTCAGCTCCCACATACTCATTGACCTTCCTCTTTGCCCAAGGCCACAACCTCTTCTCGATGATAGTGTGCTCGGCTAAGCTGTACCAGTCGATGCTATAGGCGAAAACCGTCGACTTGTCCGTGGGCACCTGCAGGATCGGGTGGCGCAGCTCGTCGATGCTCATGCTGAACTGTGCACCCACCTCCTGCTCGGGCAACTCCCTGATCTCTCAATCAGTCTCTCGCAGCGTGCGAGCCCGGCGGTGCCGCGCCGGTTCTGAGAAGGCGCGCACGCACTGGCGCACCTGAAGAGGCTGCTGGTGCGGCCGGACTCGCCGGCAACGCAATGGTCAGGAGGAAAAGAAACACACAGACACAATTAATCGTCGATTCCCCAGAAAATATGGGGAAATATGGAAAGTGTGGGGGGAGAGAAGAACCCAGAAAATATGGGAAAATATGGGGGAACCCTGTTACTTGTGTCTATTTATTTGTGTGTCCCAGTTTCCCTTCACAAACGCCTTCCTCCCCTCCTCCTCCCCCCTGGCCCTGTGGGCTCCGTCGTGTTGTCCATCGGGGGGTGCTTCGGCCCTTGATCGAGCCTCCCTCCACGACGTGTGCACGGCTCCCACGCTTTTGAAACGGCGTCCTGAAACGGTTTCGCCCCTCGGGATCCAGACTTTTGATGCTAGGCGAAGTTGACGAGGGATCCCGTGAGCATGTCTGTCTGTCTGTCTCTCCCCCCTGCCCTCTGCACAATGTTTTCGGCACACCCCATCACGCGTTTCGTGGTCCCCGAAGGCCCCAGCGGCAGGGTCCGCATTTCGACCCCTCAAACATTCCGACACAACCCTCGCATATTTCGCGGCCCCATAAGGAATTCCACCGGAGACCCCAGTGGCGGGGTCCGCATGACGTCCCCGCGCAAATTTCGGCACACCCCTCACGCGTTTCGTTGCCCTATAGGAGGCTCCACCGAAGGCCCCAGTGGCAGGGTCTGCATGACGAACCCGCGCAAATTTCGGCACACCTCTAATACGTCCCGTGGCCCCATAGGGGGCTCCACCGACGGCCCCAGCGGCAGGGTCCACATGGCGGCCTCGCACCCCCCGCACCCATTTCGGCACACCCCATCGCACGTTTCGTGGCCCCACAGGGACCTGCCCCCCTTCCTTCGTCCCACCGACCTTGCGGCACTCGTACCCGAATATATTTGGGTCGGTCACTCGCCCGGATAACTGTTGAATGAAGGATCGTGTCCTCGGGCGGACGGGCCACTTGCTATTTTACGAAAGGTCATGGCCTCGGGAGCTCGAGTCCATTGTTTAGCCGTATCATGGTTTTCTCTACGGGGGATCGCTGCCCCGAGAATGCAGACCCATGCGTCGTATACGATCAAGCAATGGCGAAGCGTCCTGGCTTCCCCACGAGCCCACCAAATAATGTTCTAAGGACCTTCTGTGGTCTGCGTGAACTGTTCTTAGAACATTTCTGGCTGAGTCTCGGGCTTACGTTCTAAGAACATCGCTTTCTTCTTGAAACACCTCTGGGCTCTGAGCACAGCCCGTGGTAGGCCTGCAGGACTGCTGGGGCGGTCGGCCCCTGCTCGCTGCGAGGCATCGCGGCCTCGGGAGCGCGAGCCTGGCGTACCCAGAGGTCACGCGGACGCGGCTCGGGGGGGGGGCGCCCAGGCCCTCGTGCCGAGCCTGGCCGCGCGCGCTCCCGGAACCTCGGGAGCTCACCCTCTGGGAGGCTGAGCAGTTTTGGGCCTGCGACGAACACGCCTCGGCTGCCCCCCCTTGATAAAAAGTAATAAAAAGAACACACGTATACACAAAACATGTGTTTAGAGATAGATAAACAAGTAAAACTAGAAACCAAGCACGAAACAAAAACAAAATATGATGGTCCCACGAACCCGGAAAGGGATATAGACATGTGGAGCATGGACACGTTTTCACGATACCCAACTGGGCAACACTTCACGAAACATCCCACGAGACACTTCACGAAACATCCCACGAGACACCTCACGAAACATTCCACGAGACACCTCACGAAACATTCCACGAGACACCCCGCGAAACATTCCACGAGACACCCCACGAAACATTCCACGACGACAGGCAACCACTCAACCAAGGCGGTGTGGTCGTGCTGGGGAGTGGTCGTGCTGGGGTGTGGTCGTGCTGGGGGGTGGTCGTGCTGGGGGGTGGTCGTGCTGGGGGGGTGGTCGTGCTGGGGGGTGGTCGTGCTGGGGCGTGGTCGTGCTGGGGCGTGGTCGTGCTGGGGCGTGGTCGTGCTGGGGCGTGGTCGTGCTGGGGTGTGGTCGTGCTGTGGTGAGGTCGTGCTGGGGTGTGGTCGTGCTGGGGTGTGGTCTTGCTGGGGTGGGGTCGTGCTGGGGTGGGGTCCTGCTGGGGTGTGGTCGTGCTGGGGTGTGGTCGTGCTGGGGTGGGGTCGTGCTGGGTGGGGTCGTGCTGGGGTGTGGTCGTTCTGGGGTGTGGTCGTGCTGGGGTGTGGTCGTGCTAGGGTGGGGTCGTGCTGGGGTGGGGTCGTGCTGGGGTGTGGTCGTGCTGGGGTGTGGTCGTGCTGGGGTGTGGTCGTGCTGGGGCGTGCTGGGGTGGGGTCGTGCTGGGGTGGGGTCGTGCTGGGGTGTGGTCGTGCTGGGGTGGTCCGCACCCTGTGATTTATCGATCGGGTCGTGCTGGGGTGTGGTCGTGCTGGTGCTGGGGTGTGGTCGTGCTGGGGTGTGGTCGTGCTGGGGTGTGGTCGTGCTGGGGTGTGGTCGTGCTGGGGTGTGGTCGTGCTGGGGCGTGGTCGTGCTGGGCGTGGTCGTGCTGGGGTGTGGTCATGCTGGGGGTGTGGTCGTGCTGAGGTGTCCCGCACCCTGTGATTTATCGATCGGGATTTCAAAAACAAGCGTTTCGCCTGAGACATCCTCAAATTTTAATCCGCCGGCCTCCTTCGACCTCGATATTTATCAGGGAAAGAATCCGCCGGCCTCCTTCAAGTTGGGCACGGGGGACATTGTTTACATAGAAAAAGAGAACCCTGGGCCTGCGCCCTTTCCGGGAAAAAAAACGATGAGCGCCCTCCACCCCCACACGAGGGCAGGAGGCCAGCACATTCGGATCGGGGAGCCGCGAGAGCTTCCGCCGAGAGAAGCTGCAGCGTTTATCGGCGCTGCAGAGCTCGAGTGAGGTCGAGCTGGACGCGCAGCGAGCAGCCTCGCTGCCGTGGCGTCTGCCTAGGGAAGAGTTTGCAAGCCTGTGATCGGGGAACAAGTTAGTGTAGCATCACGGTGACCAACTTGCTGAGCGCTTAAGGATATTTCAACGCTGTGGGCTACCATATTGCATTGATGGTGCTTGAGGTGCTCAGTTGCCGAGACATCTTTTCGCAACTTGAGGGCCTCTGCATGGGGGTCTGGCGCATGAAGGCGGTGATATTTGAGGATGGTGAGGAGGATGACGGTTATGATGAGGGCGACGATGATGCGATGCTAGCAGCGACGATGAGAATGATGATATCGGTGATGATCTTTGTAGTGATGATATTGACGCAGACGATGATGGTGATAGTGGCGGCGGTATTGATGAAGATGGAAGTTATGGTGGTGGTGATGGCGGTGATGATGATGATGATGATGATGATGATGAGGAGGAGGAGGAGGAGGAGGAGGAGGAGGAGGAGGAGGAGGGGGAAGAGAAACAGGAGAGAGGGAGGAGGAGGGGGAACTGGAGGAGGAACAGGAGGAGGAGGAGGAGGAGGAGAAGGGAGATGGAGGAGGGTTGGGGGCAACCGGAGGTGGAAGACGAGGTCGAGGAGGAGGAGGAGGAGGAGGAGGAGGAGGAGGCGGCGGACGCGTAGGAAGCGAAGGAAGGCGGACAGGAAGCGAGAGCGAGGAGGAGAGGCACCAGCGGCGCCCGCCTCCCGCGGGGCCGCAGCCGAGCGCTCCCGGGGGGAGGAGCTGCGGCAGTCATTGGCGCGCACCGCGGCCGCGGCCCTCCACGTGGACCCCGGCGGGGTGCTCGACATGCATGGCCAGGCTTCCAGTCGGGGGACGTCCAAGATGAAGGGAACGAAGAATGACCTAACATAAAAACTCAGAGGTCCACGCGGATTTCTTGGATCGGCGCTGGGAGCTCTGGCGGCGCCTCCGGCGCCGCCCCTGGCGCGCTCCGCGCGGACCGCGCGCAACAAATGCGTTGCGCTCCCGTATGTTCGGGCGCAGTCCTTATTCCGCGCTGTACGTTGGGTCCCTAAATTGGAAGCACCTGAGAGCGCGCAAAGCGCGCGCGATGGTTCTAGTACCACAATCAAGGCGGCTCCACTAAGATGTTGTGATTGATTTGGCCCGCTGAGATGTTGTGATTGATTTGGTCGCCATAGGGCACCATAAGAAAGTCATGTGATACACCCTAGGACACATTCCATCTCATGAGCATGGGAGGGGCACAAGTAGGGTGAGAAGGAGAGGGATCAGCGAGGAGGAGGAGGAGGAGGAGGAGGAGGAGGAGGAGGAGGAGGAGGAGGAGGGGGGGGGAGAACGAGGAGGGGGGGGAGAAGAAGGAAACGGAGCACCATGGAGAAGGAGTAGGAGCAGGAGGTTGACGAGGTTATTGAGCACTTCTCTCGTAGCTTTCCTGATCGGCGGCGCGCTCAGGGGGGAGGGAGCGGGCCTTCTCAGAAGGCGGCGCGGATTCAGAGAAGCCCTCTGGCCTTCTGAGGAGCCGTCTCTGTCGTCGGAGAAGGCTCAGCAAGCTTCACAGAAGGCCGCGGGCCTTCTCAGCCATCTAGGAAGGCCCCCCCCCGTCCGCCTTCCCCCCTGAGCGCGCCGCCGTTCCTTCTTCTCCTCGATGGACCTCTCGGCGGTGGGCGTCGATCGGCCGTCCATGAGCGCCATGCCGTGGTCTGGCTCGGAGCCGACGGGCCCCAGAGGCATCCGCACGCTTGCAGAACGGACGGGCTTCCAGCTGAAGGCGACTGCCCACTAAGACAACAAGTCGAGGAAGCGCAAACATTGATTGATTGAGGCGCGTTCACGGGGTTTCTTGATAAGCGCGGGAGGGGGCCCCCCCGACGGGGGTCAACCTCGCCTCGCCGTCGCGCCGCGACGGGGGTCGGAGCGCCTTCGGCGCGCGGTGGCTGCCCGCGACGGGGGTCGATGTGGGGCTGCCGGCGGGAGTGACGCCCCCCCGACGCTCCTTTAGAAACTCGGAGAAGGTTAGCGACGGGTGCCGCTCCCAGGCAACATCGGCGCGCTCCGTCGCCAAATCAGAGGGCACTGGCGGCATGCTTCGCGGGCGGCGCTCCCCCAGCTGTGGGGCGCCCACGCGCTAGATCCACGGATCCCTGATCCGTGCTAGCGCGTGCCCGAGTGAAGACGCCCGAGGCCTGGGGGGGGGGGGGATCGGGCTTCGCCCGCTCAGGAAGCGACTCCAGCTCTTCTCTGCACGGTGCGAATCCGACCTCAGCCTCTGCTCGTTCGGATGCAGCTCGGGCAAAAGATCCCCTTGTCTGCGCGGAGAGCTTGTGCATCCAGGCGTCACCAGCTTGGGCGCGCCAGTCCTGGGCACGGGGTGCCCTCGAGGCTCGTCGGCGCAAGGCCGGGGCGGTGGCCCAGGAGTGCACCTCTCGAGATTGCCTCCCCCCGTGCCTGCGTGCCTGCGTGCCTGCGTGCCCGCAAGCGGCCGCGACAGCTGCAGGAGATCTGGTGTGCATCACTCGAGGAGGAGGAGGAGGAGGAGGAGGAGGAGGAGGAGGAGGAGGAGGAGGAGGAGGAGGCGGAGGAGGCGGAGGAGGCGGAGGAGGCGGAGAGGCGGAGGAGGAGGAGGAGGAGGAGAGGAGGAGGAGGAGGAGGAGGAGGAGGAGGAGGAGGGAGGAGGAGGAGAGGGGGGGAGAACGAGGAGGGGGGGGAGAAGAAGGAAACGGAGCACCATGGAGAAGGAGTAGGAGCAGGAGGTTGACGAGGTTATTGAGCACTTCTCTCGTGGCTTTCCTGATCTTGTCTTGGCCTCGACACGCCGCCGCGGTGTTCCCTCGCGGTGCAGCGCAGCGCGCGAGGGCAGGGCGGCCGCAGGCCAAGCTCGAGAGGACGAGGGAGCTTGCCTTGCCCCGCCCTCCCCTGGGCGTCCGATCACCGCCCCCCTGTTCCAGGCAGCAGTCCGGTCTTCGCGCAGAAGACCGCCGAGGACCACCAGGAGGCCGCCGGAGACCGCCGGAGACCGCCGGACGCCGAGGGGCAGCTGAGGGGTCCATGCAGCCCCTACCGGAGGTGCTTCGGGATTCCCACAGGAGCCCCAGACAGCGCCCCAGGCAAGCCCAGCAGCACAGACCCTCGACCCCGCCTCGATCCTGCCCAGACCCCCTCGCGCCGTAGGAAAAAACTCCTCCGGGGCCCTCACCGGGCCCTGGGGCAAGGAGATGAAGAGTCGGTCCCCCGGGAAGGAGGGCTCGGGCAGCGGGCGCACGGGCCAGCCGGTGGCCGTGGCGGCCTGTGGCGTCTGTACGGCTATACACGGCGCCACCAAAGCCCAAGCCGGCGGGTTTCGAAGGTATACCGGCCATGGAGCGGGATAGGCACACGACGACAGCAGTATACCACGACTTCCACCACACTCTCCTGCAACTCTTCAATTATTGCAGAGCATCATCTACTGAGGCATGTTCTTTCATCGTAACTTGGTGGTACATCACTCACACTAGATAGCACATACACACCGTGGCCGCTACCGTTCCTCCTCAGCCATCCTTCTCTGCATGCCCAGCTTCTCACACATTCAGCATACGCCTACATGTCGGCAGGCCTGTACCTAGTCAGGCTATGATATGTCCGTACACCACGATACTTAGACTGCCCAAAACAGCACTTATGTGTTGCAGGGTTCAGGCTACACCCGTGGCCAGCCGACGTTTGCTTGTCCATGCTCTACTCATGCATTCCGATGGCAGTACGAGTCGGGAGGTTGATATTACACGCCGGTCGTTGAAAGTAGGTATTGTTGGATTCCCAGATCCCAATCTGCTTCAAGCGCCTTCGTACTTCAAGAACCGGCATGCTTTTGCTGGGTTGTGTTATTCTTTGGGGGAGCTTGGAACCAATCCACTTTATCCGCCTCCCTACTTCATGTTTTGACCTACTTCTTCCGACCGGCGTGTACTGCTAGATGTGGGGGAGGAGGAGTATTAGAATAGAGTACTGATCCGACATTTGTTTTTCCATGCTCTACTCTTGCATTCCGATGGCAGTACTAGTCGGGAGGTTGATATTACTGCTAGATGTGCGGGAGGAGGAGTCTTAGAATAGAGTGCTGATCCTGGCCACTACTCCAGGGCCTCCTTTCGGGACCCCTCGCCCACAGGGCAGGGCGAACCCCGCCAGACAGGCACGCCCTACAGGCCAATCGTCAGGCACACTTGAGCTCTGCGGGTTCGTGCTTAGCCCGGCAAACTGTTGACAAAGAGCACGGAACGTCATGGGACCAGGGAGGCTTGGGGTGAACCGCAAAAACCTTGGGAATTGACCCAAGAGCCGTACGTTTGGCACAGGTGTTGTTCACAGAACTGCGCTCATCCATACGTTCTTCCGTGGCATTCGTTTCTCACTCCGCACGCGCGCGCCCTTCTCAATAATACCTGGCTCCACCGCCCACCTTGTGGCAGCCACCCGACGCCACTTTTTACAGGTACAGCTTCCGTCACCTTGCATAGCTCTTGCGCCTGTCCGATCTAGTTTATGCATGGCAGCAGCGCCACGCCTACAGGCCAGCCGTCCAGGCCAGCCTTCATGTCTGTAAGTTCCCCCGCTTCAGCTAGTGGGTAATTCACAGTCATAAATTCATAGACCCTAGCCTACTGCAGCATGTCTAGGACTATAACTTGGCGGGGTGGCGGTGTGGGTCCTGAGGGGGAGGGGAGAACGGCTGATCATTGAGCCTTCTGACCTTCAGCGGAGGGACGCCAGCCCTACAGCTGGCTGTTGATCGACCCTGCTCAGCCGCACACCTTTGGCAGTCACCAGACGCCACTTTTTTGCGTACTCAGCTTTTGCCATATTGCATGGCACTTGCACCTGTATTTGAGGCAGCTAGTACCAGAGTATCTCAGGTAGGGGGTATATGTGACGGGGATGGAGGCGATCACTAACCAAGGTACTACAGCTGCCCGTTGACTAACCAAGACAGCACTACCAATTGAACCGATAGGCCTCCTTCTAAGGTTTATCTACTTCGTCTTATCAGGCTCTTTTCTTACTAAGATCAGCGCCGTCTTCTCGCAACTGGCGGGCGCCGACTCGCATGACTATGATTTTCCTGGCCTCGTTTTCCCACGTTGCCCGCGGCGCCCGGCAGGTGTTTTTTTCTTTCTCTGAAGCGAGTCGCGTACGTCTGTAGAGTGCTATCTTCGAGAACGCCACAGGTACTACCTGAGGCTGGTTTCACGTAAAAACAGGAGGAGGAGGAGGAGGAGGAGAAGGGAGGAGGAGGAGGAGGAGGAGGACTCTGGGACTCTCGGCTGCCTTGCAACCCGAAGCCTGACCGAAGAAAGTTCAGCTCGGCTCAGATGCCTTGCGTCGGGGGTGCCGCGCGAGCAGGGCGAGCCCGTGAGCCGTCGAAGCGCTCACCAGGAAGGTGTGCTGTGTTGGCGGCTGCGCATGCTAAGCAGAGGAGGAGGAGGAGGAGGAGGAGGAGGAGGAGGAGGAGGAGGAGGAGGAGGAGGAAGAGGAGGAGGAGGAGGAGGAGGAGGAGGAGGAGGAGGAGGAGGAGGAAAGGAGGAGGAGGGAGGAGAAGGGAGGAGAAGGGAGGAGGAGGAGGAGGAGGAGGAGGAGGAGGAGGAGGACTCTGGGACTCTCGGCGGCCTTGCGCGGAGCTCCGGTGGCCCCCTCCGGCGGCCCGGCCTCGCCGCGGAGGCCTCGGGCCTGTCGCTGGGCAGCAGGGGCGCCGCGGGCGACCTGGTCGCCGACGGGTTCCTCAGGCGGCGCGGCGCTCGCGGAGGGCCACGGGGCCCCGAGGCCGCCGAGGAGGCCCAAAGATGTCCCCGAGGAGGCCCAAGGTGCCCCCAAGAGGATGCCCAAGATGCCTCCCAGGTGCCTCTCGAGATGCCTCCGAGGTGCCTCCGAGATGCCTCCGAGAGAGCCCAAGCTGCCTCCAAGATGCCCCCATGGCCGCCGAGCACGCCCAAGAGGCCTCCCAGAGGGCCCAAGATGGTCCCAGACACCCTCGCGATGCGCAGAATCAGGACGGGAGGTTTTGCACTAGTTCGGCCCTCCGGGGCCCTTCCCGGGCCTCGGTGCCGTCAAAAAACGATTCAGGATGAAACAAACAGTCCTGAGGAAGGGGTCGAGACCTTTGGGATCGACGTCGTGAAAGAATCACGACTTCGGAAGTCTGGAGATGGTCTCAAGCTGGCCCGAGGTGGCCTCAAAACGGCCCAAGATGCCTCCAAGAGGGCAACGAAAGCGCGGTATGGAAATGAACAGGGGTCATTTGTTTTTGTACACATCTGTTAGCTCGATGAGCATGCCCAGCGATGTGAATCAGCCAATCCACAAACGATCCCACTGGCACCACAACTGGCCGGATGATCAGTTCGCTCATCTTGAAACACCCAAGTATGTCTTTCAACCTTCCGGAAGATAACATGACCAGCAAATTGATCGCAAATATGGCGAAGCCGCCGCACAAGTCGACAATCCGCCCTCCCTCGGATGCGACGCGGGGCCATCCCCGCCGCGCATTCTGAATCGATGTTGATAACGATCGCCGAAGGAGAAGAGCCCAAGAAAGAGCAAATAATAAAGCAGACAACTCAGTCGACACTGGTGGTATGCCAACGGGCACCAACATACCCAGGGCCGTGCGGGTCCAGGATAGTGGTCCCACAGTACTAACCCTTGAGTTCAGACGGGGCTGGCGAAGCCACAGTGAAGCCCCAGCCAGAGCATTCCGATACATCGTCGCTCCCTTTCGTGAAAGAACCATCGCAGGATAAGGTGGTCTCCGCCAGAAACCGGAAGTCGGACGCGGAAGGTTGCAGAGGGAGGTGCACAGCTTGTTGGGCACCGCGGCAATGCCCAGGAAGACCCGCTTCACATTTGATCCGTTTCAATGGCGGCAAAGCCATGCGATGAATAGGCCTCCGCATGCACCATGAGACCCCTTTCCTCGTTGAAGATGGCCAGAAAAAATGGCCTTCTGAGGTGCGTGCGGAAACGGTGTGGCGTTGGAGGCGGAGGCTGCGTAGTCTCGGCTGTGGTGGTGGAAACGGAGGCTGCGTAGTATAGAATGTGGTGGAGACGGGCTGTTGAGTATTGGGCGTGGTGTTGGAGACGGAGGTCGTTGAGTATTGCATGTGGTGTTGAAGGCGGAGGGAGTAGAGTAGAAGGTTATGTTTAAGTTCAGCTTTAGGCGTTCCGCGCGCTGGGGAGGAGGTCCAGCGCAGATTCAAGAAATCCGCGCGGAGCGCCAAATGTTTATGTTTATGCCGTTGCCTTCTTCTTCTAGGAAAGCCTACCCGTGGCTTTTTCAGCACGAGGCCTCCTTTCAGCGTGGGGCTCCTCTCCTCAGGACAAGCTTCCCGTCCCGAGGCCCTTTTTGACAGCCCGAGTGCCCGGCGAGGGCCCCCCCGGAGGCCGACGGCTGGAAAAGACTGCCGTCTTGATCTTCGTCTATTTGTTGGATGCCTAAGTTCGATCCTCGACCCTCGACTGTCGATCCTCGACCGATGTATCTTTTGATCTTTGATCTTAACCCATGAGTTCTCGACCCCTGAGTCGGATCTTTGTCGATCCTCGACCGATGGATCGATCCACGACGACGACAAGCGTCGACTGGCGGCGGCGTCAGTCTCTGCGCAGGCTCCCCCCCGGCGGCACGGTGCGGGTCGCTTCCGAGCAGCTGCGCGGGGACGGGTCCGTGGTCGCGCTGGTCACAGAGACGGGGGAGGGCTCGTACTTCGAGCTGGACCCGACGGGTGTCGAAGAAGAACGTTGTCAAGGCGTCGGGCTGCGCACAGACAGCCTAGGCAGTCCAGGCTGACCTCAGCAGGCCCCCCGAGTAGTTCCAGCTGGCCCGAACAGGCCCCCCGAGAGTAGTCTCTGGCGGTCTCAACGCTAGCCTCAACCTTGGGGCGCGGAGCGCCCCAAGGGCGCCGCCAGAGGCGGCGCCAGGGTGTCGAGACCGCCCTGGATTACTCGGGGGGCATGTTGAGGCCAGCTTGGACTACTCGGGGGGGCCTGTGGAGGCCAGCCGAGACTACCTGGGAGGGTTGCTTGTGTGCAACCCGAAGCCTGACCGAAGAAAGTTCAGCTCGGCTCAGATGCCTTGCGTCGGGGGTGCCGCGCGAGCAGGGCGAACCCGTGAGCCGTCGAAGCGCTCACCAGGGAGGTGTGCTGTGTTGGCGGCGGTTGCGCATGCTAAGCAGAGGAGGATGAGGAGGAGGAGGAGGAGGAGGAGAATGAGGAGGAGGAGGAGGAAGAGGAGGAGGATCATGAGGAGGAGGATAATGAGGAGAAGGAGGAGGAGGAGGAGGAGAAGGAAGAGGGGGGAGGAGGAGGAAAAGGAGGGGGAGGAGGAGGAGGAGGAGGAGGAGGAGGAGGAGGAGGAGGAGGAGGAGGAGGAGGAAGGGGAGGAGGAGGAGGAAGAGGAGGAGGAGGAGGAGGAGGAGGAGGACGAGGAGGAGGAGGAGGAGGAGGAGGAGGAGGAGGAGGAGGAGTCAGAAGAAGAGAGCGTCGAAGAACAGCAAACTGCGTAAACCTAAGCTTTTCGAGCTTCGCGCGGGATCCTCGGATCGGCGCTGGACCCACCTCCCTGGCGCGCGAAGCGGGGTCAGGGACCATGATCGGGGGGGATAGGCTCAGAGGGGGGCGCAGCGTCTCCCAGTCACCCACTCATTGCAGACAGGGGCCCGATAGCTCACCCTGCCCGGGAACCTGCGGTTTCCCAGGGCCGATCGCCAATCTATCGGAGATGCACTGGCGATTGCAGGTCGACGCTTCCCCTCCTGAGCCAGTCCACCCTATCATTCGCTCTCACCGCTCACAAAGGGGGGAGGGAGAGCAGGAAGACCAGAAACCCTAATGTTTCAAATCTCCGTGCATATTTCTTGGATCGTCGCTGGCCCTCCTCCCTTGGGCGCGCATTGCGAATCAAAAGATCCGCGCGGAGTTTCGAATGTTCGTGTTATGTGACGACAGAAGGATTGCAAGAACGATTGGGGTCCTGACTTCAATCCACGCCGTCACTGCAGGTGCGCGGCTGAAGCGGCGGCACACCCACACACACCTTCCGTCTCCCTCTGTCGAGCGAGGGGACACCGCCTGTATGTTTTGCTGCGCCCAGCATGTCAGGCGCCGTGAAGGCGGCGCTGAGGCAGGGCGTGTGCATCAAGCACACCGTCGCGCACGGAGATGGATCAGACGCTGGAGTCGTGATGGGCGTCCTCGGGCGAGTCCCCCCCATTCGACCGCCAGGGGCAGGCTACGAGGTTGGTTACGCTGGTAGCGGCGACCCGTAATTCAGCTGGTGGGTCGATGAGCGTGCAGAAAGGGCGGTTTCCAAACCCCATCCGCCAAGCATCATGTCTTGCACACCCGAGCCCCCATGGTGATGACAGCGGCTGGCGCTGCAGATGATCACACGGAATTGTTGCTGGAGGGTGGGGTCAGTTGGCTTTGCCCACCGATGTCGCCAAGGTTGTTCTCGACGGGGACGGAGCCGCATACATGGTGGAGGCCGACAACGGGGCAACAATGCCCAAGAAGCGGCCGGCGGGCGCACCCAGCGCTCCAATCCCGGACAAGGATGACGCCATCGAGGACGAGGACGACGAGGAGGCCTTCGAGGAGCTTCGAGAGGAAGTTCATGGCCCTCGGGGACAAGGCCGACGAGAAGGGCGCTAGCAAGAAAGATAAGAAGACGGCTCGCCAGGGCCCGCGTAGGGAAGCTCAAAGAGTGTTTGGACGCGATTCACGATGGAGGGGCAGTTGCAGCGGCAGCCCCTGCCGCCGCACCCAAGAAGAAAACAAGGCTCAGGGAAATCATCCAAACGCGGATCACGGGCCAGGATCGGCCACCGCTGCCACCGCCCAGTCGCCCGCCTCTTCCGGACCAGTCGGCCGATGCGAAGACGGTCCTCCGCGCGCTGGCCACGTACTTGTCGAGCGGCAGGGATGACGACGTTGCCCCGGACGATGATGATGTGCAGGCCCCAGGTCAGTGCCCCGTTGCGGCTATGAGACTGACCTATAAGAAGATGGCGGAAAACGCCCTGGCCGCTTGTCGGCGAAGGAGATGGAGAATCTGGCAAGGCATTTCGATGATGGACAGGCAACGGCTCAGCGCCAGTGGCGGTCAAATTCTCCCTTGGGGATTTGAAGCTTGGCCATCCCGTTCGAGAGATGGAAGAGCAGCACACAGAGCTGCGCAGCTCGGCTGGGGCTGCGCGTTCGACTGTCGTAGACAAGCCAGCGATGGCATTGTGCTACACATTCTGTCGCATGAAGGCACCGCAGAGGACCATCAGCAGTGGGCGCGCACGCACAGCGAAGTGGTTAGAGCTCACCCCCCTTCATACTTGCGGCCTGAGCTTGTCGGTCGAGGACGAGGAGCTCGCGCCGGGCATCGAGGTGGCGGAGGTGCACATGTCCCTGCTGCCGGGGCGCTCGCAAGGTGGAGGCTCCGCCGCGCCCGCTTGTCAGGAGGCTGGCCTGGGCGGCGGCAGCAGCTCAGCCGGCCGCCCTGTAGGCCCGCGCCGTGGCGGAAGCCCCGACAGAGGATTATTGCCGATCGTCGGCGTCGGCCCCTTGCTGGCCGCGAGCGCCCGCCTCGCGGCCGCCCCCCCGCTGGCCAGCTTGCGGGTGGCATCGCGGGCCGCCCCCGGGCATTGCAGGGCGCCCCCAGACCCCTGGGGGGCGGCGTGCTCGCGCAAACACACCACCAGAGCCGCCTTATCTGCGGCAGGCGGATCGCCCGGGGGCCCGGCGAGCCCCCCCAGGCCAAGCAGCGACCCCGCCGCTCGACGCGGCCGCCAGCGCCCAGACTGCCGCCCCAACGCTGGCGCGCTGGAGGGGCTGGCTTGCCAGCCGCCACTGCCGCGGCGGACCGAGCGGGGCTGCGACGGTGGATTTCGGCCTGGGCCCGCCGATCGGCTCGGGGGGGCCCGACCAGCATCGACAAATTGATGGCGAGCCCCCCCCCCCCGCGGCGCGACGCCGCAAGAGCTGGGAGGCGGCGAGGGCAAGATGCCGCGCCAGTGCCGGGTAGCGAGCCAACGTTTTCGATTACTTGGGAAGGTCAGATGAGGGGCGACGGGCATCTGCATGGCCAGGCCATTTGTTTTCGAACCCAGAGAATTTGCCGCCAGCTCTTCAACAACAGACAAAGCAGATCACCGTGGCAGCCTGCCCCCCCCCCCGTTGCCGCGAGCTCCAAGCGCCTGCACTGCGGTCTCCCGAGCAAGACCCGACAGGGAGAATCTGGCAGGACGTCGGAGGTTCACGCTGCCAGTTCCCAGGTTATTCAGCGAGCCGCGGAGCGGCGTGCGCGCCAAGAATGAGCCCGGGGAGTTTGATTCCCCTCGCTGGCCACTGGAGCAGCGGCTGACCAAGTTCGGCTACAGCCGCGAGGACGATTGCAGGGCCCGGCCGCTCAAGCACCGGAAATTGGCGCCCGGGCCTCCGATGGCCGAGGGCGCGGGGCGACTCGACGTGCTCAGGCGCGTCGTTCCCGAGCTGGCGGGGGCGCCCGCGCGATCAGGATTTCCATTGCTCCCAGAACAGGAGCGGCACGCGCCCCCGCCGCAGGCGAAGGTCAACGTTGAGCAGGTGGAGGCGTGGTGGAGCATTGCCGTCGCGCCCGTAGATCGGGGCCCCAGCCCGCGTTCCCGCTGGGCGGGTTGGCCCAGCTCGCGGCCGCCGCTCGACGAATGGCCGCGTCGCAGTCGCAGAGTGAGTGGCGCGCCTGCCAGATCTTCAACGTGGCCCCCACGCACTCCCACATCCGCCCACTGGCAGGTGACTCAGTTAATACGGTTCCGTCTCCTGCTTGGGCCAGCACGTCATCCGGGCCAGATGAGGCATTGCCTGGAGCGATAATGACCAGGAGGCCCCATCGGGCCATGCGACAGCTCGCTCGCCTGGACATGGCAGCGCCGCCCATGGACTGGGCCAGACGGGCGGCGCTGCGGCGGTCTCCGAAGAGGGCGGGGCTAGGGCCCCGCCCGCGCGTTCCTGCAGCGGCGCGAGAAGAGCGCGCCTTACAAGCTGACGGGGTTGTCCACGGCGAATTCTGAGGCAATCCAGAGCTGGTTTCGGGATCGCCATGCGCATCTACCTTGCCGCTGCGACTTGCCCGCGTGGCCCGGGATCCAGAGGGCGATCTGAGGCCGCCAGTCGCCGCGGAGCGGGAGGTCCTGATTGAGCCCCCGACGCATTGCACTTCTTCCGTAGCGAGCTCGGGCCCCAGCGAGACTAGCGCCGAGACCGAGCGCTGCTGCCCCGTGGGGAACGCACTCGCTCACCCAATGATGGCGCAGCTCTTCCTGGGCCTCGAGCTCGACGTCGACAGGCAGGTCACCGAGTCCGATCTGCCCACCATCGCCGAGGAGCTGAAGGTCAGGGATATCTGTCGAACTCTTTCGAGACCCTATCCGAGAGTCGACGCGGGCCGGCTAGTGGAGGTGGGCGATTGTTTCTTCAAAAAGGAAGTGGCAGCATCCTGGATTTCGGTGCCCAATTTCGTCCAAGGGCTGGGCCCCGCTCGTCCATGGAACCTGCGGCGTGGCGTTGGCGATTTGCCCGCTCCCATCCTAGGAAAAAGAGCGCGCGCGACCTCCGCGCCGCGCTGGAGCTCAAGGCGGTCGACGCGTCGCTGCGCCACCGAATCCGCAGAACCAGCTTCAGCAGTGTCGAGGTGTTGCACATGGTGGATTCTCAGGTGGTCGCCTCCATCCTTGCCCGAGGGCACGCGTGCTCGGCGAAACTGCGGGACTCAGCACTCCACCGCGCTGCCATCGCAGCGAGATCAGATTTGCACGTTGGCATCGGAAACAGCAGAACAAAGCTGAATACAGTGACAGACCGCCTCGGCACTTCTTCCATAAGTCATTTGCCAAAAGCGAGTCATACTGAAGCCGCGATCGCGGCGGAGTTGGGGTCGCGTTCGCTTGCGCTTTGCGAGACAAGCAACACCGTTGCGAGGCTCACAAATCACAGAGAAGACTCGCGAACGCTATGTTCCATGTGTTTGGCGGCTGTTCTCGCGGTGCAAGGCCTACGGAGATCAGATGCGTTGCCCAGGGATATGCACCAGGGCCCTGCTGTGCGTGTGGAGACCTGCCGGTCTGAATTCGGATATTTGCACGTAGTCGTCAACCCTGCGGCAGCTCTCCAGTGGATGATGCCTGCCCCCAAGGGCCACCTGCAGATCAGCTGGAGCACTGTGCGCACTTGGGTGCGCGAGTGTATGCCATGACGGGCCGTGCCTCTCTTTCTCTCTGCTGGAATTGCTTCGGCCGTGAGCGCTGCAGCTTCGGGCCTGGGCTGGGGGGGGCGCGGCTGCCATTATGCTCGTCGGGGTTGACACCTACACGCGAACAGGAGAGGCCGAGCTCGCATCCAAAGCGAATGTGTAGCGGGCAGAAAAATACATTGCAGTGCGGGGGGATTTGCTTTTTTGTCTGAGATGTTTCTTTTGTTGTTGGATCGAAAACGGCGGGGGCGTCGAAGACAACAGTGCCAAAGAACGCGTCGTAGAATGCTGCCGGAAGAGAGAAGAGGAGAACTTTTTTTATATAACAAGAAAACACATGGCCCTGCCCCCGCGTTTCCACGCGCTCCCGTTCGTTCACGCACACACACGCACACACTCCGCGCTTCCCAAGACACATGGTTTAAACCACTTATTGTACACCATGGGCATTCCCAGGCTGTAGTGTGTGTTGTTGCGTGGAGAACCACGGAGCCAATTGTCTCCAATGACCTGTATGCGAGCACCGCCCGACGCCACAAAATACCAGCGGCCCGGCGTCCTGGCGTGGACATCGCGTCGACCACGCGTGGGCCTCACGTGGGTTGCCAGTTTCTTAGAGAATGGGCCTCACGCCCATGCAGATCTAGGATGTTAACGTTAAGTCGGGCACCACTCAGTCGACGGCACATTTTCGGGCCCCCTCCCACGCCTCCCTCCGGACAATCCCGTTTCTCCTCTCCCTCTATGCCTTTTTCTCCCCCGCCAATGCCATTGAAAATGAGAGTCGCGCTTTTGCTGCACTGCCGTTCGACGTTCGAAAGCTCGTTTTTTTTTTGTTCCAGGGTAATCGGGAGGTCGAGTGTGTGTGTGTGCCCAAAACGGCATGTGTTATTCATGATATGGAAGTGCATGGAATTTTGAATGGAACGTACCTTTGCTGAGACGCGCTGTTTTGCATTTGTGCCGAAATCGGGGCGTCGTCTAAGACAGTGCCGTAAAAGGGGGGGGTCTTACCTTGCAAAATTGCCGGAGAAAAAAAGAGGTTGCGCCGCGTGGCCCTGCTCCCGCTTTCCAGCAAACGCCTGTGTAGACACATTCCGCCATTCCGCGCTTCCCAAAGAGTTGCTTGCACTACGACGGCGGCGCGTACTGATCGCACGAAACAAGCTATTTGTGCACATCGAAGCGTCCAAGATGGGACTCTGGATTGGTTTCTCTGAGATTTTACGCTTCATGATGGAGTTCGCCGAAATGTTTTGGCGCGTCGTTGCCTTCAGCTTGAATCCAATGATTTCGCACGCGAGGAGCACAGGTTCCAATACCCGCAGGCAGCTCAAACAGCCGCTGAGTCTCCTCAATCATGGCACCCGTGGTTTCAGGATGTACAGCTTGCGGCGTGGAGGTGCGACGGTCCATTTCACACGCCATCGCATGTTTTGGACTTCGCTTTGCAGCGAGGTCGATGGAGTGGAACAGAAGTAACCAGAATGTACCTGTCTCGGGCTGTTGCTGATACTGCTGCTCCTAAGCCCACGCCAAGTCAGAGGCGCTTGGTGCGAGCTGCCGCCCTCCGCTGCATACAGGCATGCAAGCAACGGGGAGAGCGCAGTGCTTCTTCAAGGGTCAGCTAGCCACTTGGGGGAGACGCGGAAAGGCTTTCGCGAAGCCCCCCCCGGCGGGTAACCTGGTTCAGTGCAGCCCCCTGGTGTCATTCGGGGGCGGCAAAGAGGGGGGTGAGGACTAGGGGGGGGGTGGATATCATGGCGGGGGCCATGATATTTCCCGAGGTTTCAGGCCGCCTCGTCTTGTTTCATTACGTCCCTGGCCCCCCCGCTGGGCCGCGCACATGCCGCCGGTCATGATTTGCACCCCTCCCTCGTGGACCCCCCTCTCTTGGCCGCCCCCTGGTGTCATGGAGCTTTTCATCCTCGGTGCCTCGCCCCCGTGGTCCCTGGGCGTGGGCGTGGCTGGGCAGCTGAGCTGTTGCAGTTCGCCCACGACCGAGGGAGCGGGCAACGTTCAGTCGGGCCTGTCCCTCTACAGGAGGAGTGAGCAGAAATAATGAAACAATTATCCCAGTGCGACCCTACCTAGGAGTTGGAACCCCTAGGAAAGCAGCATTAGTAGTAACAGTAACGCTAAGCTAAAGCTAAGCTAAAGCTAAGCTAAAGCTAAGCCACAGCTAAGCTAAAGCTAAGCTAAAGCTAAGCTAAGCTAAGCTAAAGCTAAGCTAAAGCTGAGCAACAGCTAAGCTAAAGCTAAGCTACAGCTAAGCTAAAGCTAAGCTAAAGCTAAGCTCAAGCTAAGCTCAAGCTAAGCTAAAGCTAAGCTACAGCTAAGCTCAAGCTAAGCTAAAGCTAAGCTAAAGCTAAGCTAAAGCTAAGCTAAACGCTAAGCGAAAAGCTAAGCGAAACGCTAAGCTAAAGCTAAGCTACAGCTAAGCCAAAGCTAAGCTAAAGCTAAAGCTCCCAGGGGACTGGGGGGAACCGCTCCCAGGGGACTAGGGGAACCGCCCGGGGCTCTTAGCACTGCCCGGCCCCTTTAAGCTAAGAGAGTAAGAACCCTTCTAGGCAGAGCCTAGGTAGGGAATAATCCCTCTACAGGAGGAGTGAGCAGAAATAATAAAACAATAATATGGGGACGATGTGTTGAGTATTTGTTTGGCCTTTTTTGAATATTTGTTGGGTAACTTTGATGTTTAGTCCAAAAGCCGCCTGTAGGAGGACATGCCTGAACTAAGGGTAACGTCGCCAAGGATGTGCTCTCGCCGGGTGCTTGGGGCTCCTTCCTTCGAGCGTGCTTGATCATCACACCAGGACTGGCGGCGCGACGCCAAAAAGGACTTCCAAAAAAAAATCATGTATACAGTTTTGTGTTGGTTCATGCGGCGGGGGGGGGAGGCGAGCAGGAAGAGGGCCATTCGAGACACTGGCGGCCCTCCTTGGAGATGTTTCGTCCGTTTGGTGAGGATGGACACTGCGAGGGTCCAGGGACAGATTTCGAGCGGATGCCGGCGCTGTCCCACGCATGCGGGCGCGGGCGCGAGAGCGCCAACAGCCGACGCGGTTGGTTCAGCGATGAGGGGGGACGGAGAGGGGGGGGCCCTTGCGGAGAGGCGATCGACGACACAGGCACGCTGCCACGCGCCATTAAGTGCGCACGCACTTTCGCCCGCTGCCGAGGCAGAGCCACGCGTCGAGCGGGGCACTGGTAGGAGAAGGGATACCGAAGTGGAAGGGAAGGGAGGAGAAAGTCAGACTAGCCACGCCAGTCGCGGAAAGCCAGTCCAGGAGGGTTCGCGCGGTGAACGCGCCAAGGCAGAGTAGCATCCCAATTTGCTTAGCAATGTTGAGCACGGTGAACGACTAAAGCTTGCAACCCTTCCTCCAGTTGCACCCTCTTCCGCTCTTCCCCTCAGCCTCCCCTTCCTGCTCATCCTCTTCCTCTTCCTCTTCCTCTTCCTCCCTGTCGTCCCTTGACAGGACAAGGACAGCGATGGAGCCTTCAGCCACGAGGAGTTCGTCGCCGCCGCCAAGGCGGATAAACAGTGGGAGGAAGAGAAGGAAAAGGAGGAGGAGGAAGAAGGAAGGAAGGATCGGAGGAGGAGGAAGGAGGAAGGAAGGAGGAGAAGAAGGAGGAGGGGAGAAGGAATGAAAGGGAGGGGAGGAGGAGGAGGAGGAGGAGGAGTAGGAGGAGGAGGAGGAGGAGAAGGAGGTGGTGGAGGAGTTGTGGGTAGGAGGACCACCGACTGACATACGTACGTATATACGATGCGATGTAAACATGGTCATATACACATATGTATACAGCTACATATACATCTGTATACATACATACATACATACATGCATACATGCATGCATGCATACATACATACATACACACATACATACGCACACATATACATACATACATACATACATACATACATACATACATACATACATACATACATACATACATACATACATACATACAGACATACACACATACATGCATACATACATACATACATACATACATACATACATACATATATATACTATATAGCGTCATTCAGCACATCTCGCCACCGTGCGTGCCTAGGTTGAGTATGTCAGAGGCCAACCGGATGCCTGTAGGGATCTTTGGGGGCCTATCGGAAGCCTCATTGAGGCGGTGTTGGGAGGCCTCTTGGGGTCTCTTTTGGGGTTTGATTTGGGCATGAAGACCGACAGCTTCCCAACTGATGGGAAGGGGGAAGGGGGCGTTCCGCGAGCGGTTGGAGCGCCAAAGATGTCCTTGGGCGATCCCGGAGACGTCTTGAGGCCTCAGAGGCCTTCTGGATAAATCCGCCACCGTGCCGCAAGGCACTGACATTGTTGTTTGCGACCGGTCGTGGCCTCGCGAGCAGGGGCGATGCATGCCTCCATCCGCATCTGTTTTTTGGCTTCTTGGGAGCCTCTTGGGGGCCCAGGGGGCGGCCTCCAGGAGCCGGTTCAAGGCTTCCAGGAGCGTTTGGTAGATCTCGGTGGTCTCTTGGGCAGTCTTGGGGCTCTCCTGGGCCGTCTCGAGGCCTTCTCGGGGGCCTCTTGGGTCGTGTTGGGCCAGTCTGGGGGGGCCTCTCGCGCCGTTTCGACGTCCGCAAATTCCAGATTCCGAAAAGCTTTGAAGTCCTCGTGGAACCTTGTTTCGGCGTCCTGGGCCCGTTTTGAACCTATCCCAGGCGTTTCCGAAGCCTCTCTGGCGCGTTGAGCCTTTCTGGAGCCGTCTTACAAATCAGATAGGGCATCTTGGAGGCCACGAAGGGTTGTTGAGTTTGATGCTCCGAAGGCCCCAGAGATGAATTGACGAGCTCGCACCCCCACCCCCCACCCCACTCCTTTCACGGCATGTTAGACCTCAGGGGAGGGGAAAAGGGAGCGGGGCCCGAAAATGAGGCCGGCGCCTCAGCGAGAGCAGCATTTTGGAAGAAAAAGCAGGTGAAAACCCAATTCCGGAAAATCTTGTGAGTAAAAAAACAGTACGCGGGGGGGCTAACACTTTCAAGCCGTCATCAGGGGAAGAGGGAGAGTAGTATTCATATTGAGTAATTGTAGAGGGGGAGAGGTGGCAGCCAATCATCTCACACGCCTTCTCACCCAGGGTCGGGGGTCTCGCGTCGCTGTACTCCACGGCCCTTGCTGTCTGGGCGCTTCTTCGGGCGTGCGTCAACGAGAGGGAACGGGGCCTCGTGGACACTGAGCCTCGAGCGTTTCGTCTGGCCATCCACTTGTTTGCATACGATTCGCCCGACTACTCCTCAAGACGCCTCGCGCATTCCTATCTGAATAATCAGATATGTGTATATATATGTGTCTGTATAGATATCTGTGTGTATGCGTACACATACTGTATACACTGTAGAACTATGCACCACTGTGCATGTGATCCTCTGCGCGTGCATGAACATGTGTACGCATGTATGTATGTATAGATGCAGGTGTAAGCATGTGTATATGTGTGCATGTGTGCGTGCATACGCTGTACATATAAGCATACATAATTTATAATGATATGCCTTAAACACGTATATCATGTATGAAATGGTTCGCCCTTTGCCGCCAGCCTCCCCCATCAAATGGTTTGTGGAGCTACGCTTGGTTGGTAGGGTGGATGGCTTTTTCTTTTCTGAGGGTTGGCTGACACCTTGGCTGTTTGCATGGTTGTCTGAATTCGTAAGTGGCAATTGATGTGGGCCGTCTGTTGGCTGGCGGCTTACGCACATGTGTAATACGTACAGTCGGCCCAGATTAGTAGGTCGACCCTGCCAAATCAAGGGGACGCTCGTGTCCTGTGTCTCGCGACCCATGCTTCCTACATTCCTGTGGCAATGTGGCCCTCGGAATGGTCTTGTGTCGTCCTCTCGCGTGTCCTGTCCAATCGAGTCCGACTGTACTACTTATCCGGGGTTGGTGGCCTCGGGAATGCGCGCTTCCACTGTCCTTTACGAGGGTTCGAGGTTCTGGCGGCAGTAGTTCACGAGGATACTCGTGGAGCTGAGTTTGCAGGAGGAGGAGGCACGAGGGGAGAGGGAGCAGGACGAGAAGGGGAGCGGGAGGAGGAGGAGCGGCAGCAGGGAGGGCGGAGGAACGGGGGGAGCAGAGAGAGGTCGAGGAGGAGGAGGAGGTCAAGGAGGTCGAGGAGGACGAGGAGGTCGAGGAGGAGGAGGACGAGGAGGAGGAGGAGGAGGAGGAGGAGGAAGAGCAGGGGCCAAAAAGCGCCCCGAGCACACATCCCGAGACAGAAGATGGTGGCCGTTCTGCTCGGGTGGCGCGTTCGAGCGGCCTCCGCGGGGCGGGCTCGTGGCCATCGGGGGCGCCTCGGTGCGCAGTGGGCTGCAGGGGATGGGGCCTCGAGGACGCAGGCCCGTCCTGGTTTGCAGGGGTCGCGGCGTCGGGAGCACGAGCGCATTGCAATTTACCAGCTTCGCGAGCGCCCAAGCGAAGCAAGTCACGAGGGATCCAGGCTTCGGGGACGCGAAAACTGGCGTACGGAAGGTGAGTGCCTCTGTGGCACCAGTTCGTTGTGACGTATGAAGGAGTGTGGCCTCTGGAGCGCGAGCCCGGCGTAATTTACAAGGATTGTGGCATCGGAAGCGCAAGCATGTCGCAATTGATTAAGAGTTGTGGCATCGTGGTCGCTTGGGGAGTGCGAACGTGGCGTAAATGACCAGAGGATTGTGGCTTGGGGAGCGCGACCCTGTTCTACTTCATTTTGGATTGGTGCCCCGGGGGCGCGAATCTGGCGCATTTCACATGGAATTGTCGTTTGTGGAACGCGAACATGCTGCAGGTGTCATGTCCCAGGGCGCCCCAAAGAAAATATCAGAACCCCATTGTGGCGTGGCTAGCAGGTCCTCCACCCTCGCGTGAACTTCTATCATTACATGCGTGGAACTAGAGTAGAGAAAATCTGTTAAAACAACTCGGGAATTCGAACAGGCGCAGGGAACAGGACAGCCTAGCCCACGTAGCCTGTTGGCGCCAAAGAAGATCGGCGGATAACTTTGGAAACTTCGCATTCGAACTGCTGCAGGCGGCAGGAACACCGCCGCATCGCAGCCTGCTGGCCCCCAAGGGGCGCATAACAAGGCAGGAGGAGCGAGGCCACGAGGAGAAACGCGCAGGCGTACCTCGAGCCCAGCCTGGACCTGTCCGAGCCCGCTGCCGCGGACGCCCCCCCGGCGCGCGAGCCGTTGGCTCATTTTCGCGCGGTCCCGTCGCCGAGTCGAGCTTCAGCCACCGGGGTCTCCGCTTGCACCGCCGCCGCCGCCGTCGCCGCCGACGTCGCTGACACCGCCGTCGCCGCCGTTATCGTCGTGATGGTCGTCGTCGTCGTCGTCGTCGTCGTCGTCGTCGTCGTCGTCGTCGAAGCTTGGAGTCAAAAGAGAACGGTTCTTGAACGCTCCCTGGGCTTCCGGAATCTTTTAAATTCTTCCGGGGCCTTGCAGGGTTCCCGAGGACCACCAGAGAGGACCAGCGCTCGTCGTCGTCGTCGCTGTCGTCGTCTTGAGCGGAAGTCTCTTTCGGCAGGGGAGGTCTCGGCGAACGTTCCTCGGAGCTTGCACGCAGAGCCAGAGACATGTGTGCGAGGCACGAGGCCCCAGAGGCCCCACAGGACGCGGGGACCCTTCCAGCAGAGGTCCCGACCTCTGCGCTCACTCAGCGCACCCGACTCCAGCAGGAATGCTTGTCTTCGGGAAGGGTTGGGCGCCGGAAGCTGCACCTGCGGCTCGCCGGAGTTTCCTGCGCCCCCGTGGCGCCTCGTGAGCCATCTTGCACCCCTTCGCGAACATCAGGCTTCCATCTGGCCGCTGGGACGACGAGTCCTTGGCCCCAGGCCAGGCCCCCGAGGCGGGCCCAGGACGTCCAGGTCACCCCCGGGGGAGCGACGGCAGCCGCGCTCCGCGCATCGCGGCCTGAGTCAGAGACTGGCCACGCGCAGAAGGGGGTAGGGGGAGGGGGGAGGGCTTCTTAGAAGCACCCCCGCTTCTTAGAAGGCGCGGGCCTTCTTTGTAGATGTAAGGCCGGCGCCTTCTAAGAAGCAGCCTTCTTCTAAGAAGCCTTCCCCCCTCCCCCTACCCCCTTCTGTGCGTGGCCAAAGAGAGGCGCCGTGCCTCTCGTGGGCGGCGGCGCGAGGGCGCGAAGACAGCCGCGCGTCGCGCACCGCGGGCCGCGATGCTCAGGAACGCTGAACGTCGGGTCGTCTGTCGGCGGCGAGCCTCCTCCTCCTCCTCCTCCTCCTCCTCCTCCTCCTCCTCCTCCTCCTCCTCCTCCTCCTCCTCCTCCTCTTCCTCCTCCTCCTCCTCCTCCTCCTCCTCCTCCTCCTCCTCCTCCTCCTCCTGGCGAGGCTGGGGGGAGGGTGAGCGGAGCAGCAGCTGCGCGCCGCCCTGCGGAGCCCGTCCGCGTGCTGCTCCGTCGCCCGTGCCCGAAGGCCTGGCGCCTCTGCAGCCCCAGCAGCACGCCGACGCGCTCTCCGCAGCGCGTCGCGGAGGTCGGCGCTGCGCCCCAAGACGGCGCGCGAAGTTGGGTGGCCCGGGGGCCTCCAGGCTGCAGCCGGGGGGGCGCTCCCGCGGCCGCCCGGAGCGGCGTGCTCCAGCGGTGCTCGCGGTGGTGGTGCCGCGCCCGTCGTGGCGGGCGACCAGCTGCGGGCGCTGCTGCAGCCGCTCCCCCGCGCGGCGGCGCAGCGTCGCAGTTCCTGGGCGGCGCGGGCCAGCCGCCGCGCCGCGCCAGCGCCTGGAACGTCGAGCACGGACGCGCACTCCTGCCCCCCCCCCCACCCCACCCCTTTCAGGGGGAACGATCGGGCGGGGCCGGTCCAGGGGGGAAGCCCTGAGCTGGAATCGACCATACATCCCCGATGGATTGGCAATAGGCCCCTGCCCTTCAAGTCGGGCATGTCCCTCTACAGGAGGAATATTTACAGAATGCACGCCGTCGTTGAAAGCATTCTTTTGGGGATCCCAATCTACTTCAAACGCTTTCCTACTCCAAGCATCGACATGATGTTGCTGTGTTTTGTTGTTCTCTGGGAGGGCCTGGACCCAATCCACTTTATCCGCCTTCCTAATTGATGTGTTTAATTACTTCTTCCGACCGACGTGTAGTAAAACATAGTCGGGGGGTGATGTGTCTCATCATGTTGTAACTGCTTTTGAGCACTATTGGCTATATAAAAGTTTTCGTCGACTATCAGCCTGTAGGGGGACATGCCCGACCTGACCCTGCCCCCCCCCCCGTGCTCCCACGCCGGTGAGGGCCAGTGGAGACAGCGGCGGTTGGCCTATTCTGGGGGGCCCTCTCGTGGCCTACGGCTGGGCGCAGCTCGGGGAAGGTCGGTGCGAGTGGACCCCCGAGAGGGGCCCGGGGACCGCTTCTGAGCTGGCGCTGGCACAGTTCGCCCTGCTCCGACTCACGAGCGGCGAGCGCATCCAGGTTTAAGTCGGGCCTGTCCCTCTATACCCCCTAAACCAAAGGTTTCGATGGGGAGGAAAATCTAAAGCCCCGCCTGATGTAAACCGGTTGGTGGATTCATCGGTTGATGGCTTTAACCGTGTACGTAAACTCGTGGGCAGTCACGGCTTGGGCTCCCGACGGAGCAGCGGATTTCTTCCAAGGCCTGGCTGGCTCCAACTCGGAGCAGCGGTGGTCTTCGACAACTCCGGAGGCCGATCGGGGCACCGCCCGGCTCGGGGGCGGGATAGCAAGTTCCCGGCACCACGGCCGCCGCGGAGCAAGCGCCCTGCGGGGTGCACTCGCTCCACCGGGGGGTCTTTGCAAGCCCCCAGTGGTCCACATAGTGGGCCAGGTGCTGTTCGCAGCGCCCGTGGTGCTGAAAATAACTCCCTACTCACTCTGGCCTGGCGGAGGGGGAGGAGCAGGGAGACCCATGTAGTTCCCCTGGCCGCTGAGCGGTCAAAGGGGTTCGACTGGGATCGGCGTGGCACTGCTGTAGCTTGCATGGTTTCGCCCCAAGCTGACCCGAGTGGCCCCCCTGGCCGCGATGGAAGTCAAAGGGGGTCGCCGGGATGTGCGGCAGCGAGAGCTGTGCGAATTTGCATCCAGGGAAGGCGGAGCGAAGCGGAGGACTCTCTCCCCTTCCTTCCTTCGTGCTGGGGCTCAAGCGGCCGACGTGCCGTTGCGACAGCTGGGCGCGATCGGAAAACTGGCTGCTGGACGCAGGTGGTGGGTGCTCAGGAGGCTGAAACGGTGGTGCGCCCATGTCCCACAGAAAGAATGGCCGTGTTAGTCGCGTTGCAATGGCTCCAGGCGTTCATGCATTGGCTTCCGGAGTCGTCTGGGCTCAGAGTGATTGGTTGCTCTTTGCGTCCACGCTCTCACACACCACCTGCTGTAGCATTCGGGGACACCGCATCATGCCTCTTGAGTCAGGAAAGGTGCAGTTTTTGATCGCTAAGGTTCCAGAAGGCAAGTGGCTGAAGTTGTCGAGCAGTGCCATCGAAGAGTGGCTCCACTTCGTTGCGGACGCAAACGAGCCAATCAGCCACGACGAGGTGTTTTATGCCAGCGTCGCCCGAGTGATGTCCGAACAGATGGGCTCAGCAGCGCCGTCGGACTTCGCGGACCCACAGATGCGCACTTTCATCATTGCAGGTATCCGCGCAAACACCACGCCGTTCCAAGACGACCCAGAGGGATCGGAGTGGAAAGATGTGCGGCTCACCCCTGCGCACATCACGGCTGCTCTTAAAGTGCAAGCTCGGGCAGCAGGGTCTCAGAGCAACGGCCCGGCTGGCAGCGTTGAGTGTGGCACCGGGACCTCGCCAGAGCACCTGGCGAAGGCGATCGAGGCGCTTGCAAAGGCAACGCAAGAGCGAGACCAGCCCAAGAAGGAATACTTGTCTTTCAACTTGAAACAGCGCCTGGACGAGCTCGGTCTCGGGAATCTCCCAAAAGATATGATGCCCTCGGAGGAGGCTATGATTCGGTTGGAGAAAGCCAGCAAGGTCGCTAGGGACCAGGGCCGCCTTTATATTGGGTCGGCAGAGGGAGAGGACCTCCAAGTCTCCTTTCGCCCGCCGTGGTCGCGGACACCCAAGATCGACGTGACCGTCGGCGACGGCAGCTTCGAGGAGAAGCTGCGCAGCGCGGTAGAGGCGAAGAAAACGAGGAGCTTGGAGGACAGGACCACTTTTGTGGGATTCGCTACGTTCTATGGACATATCCTGGACTGGGGCGTGAAGATGGTCCTCACGAAGGCCATCACCTCCACGCAGTTGCTCGCGTACCAGATCGTACTCACCCGGGTGGCAGAAGAATACGGCGGCTTCAGGGTGTGCACACACTACGATCTCTTGCTCAGACAGAAGCTCGCCCGGGAGCTTGAAAGGGACGAGCGGTCGCAGATAGAGACGCTCCTGTGCACTCTGGACCGCGACGTGCTGGCGGACGCGAAGAACAGCGCTGAAAAGCGCGTGAAAGAGACCGCGAAGGCGGCCACGAAGACGGGCCAGGCCTCTGGCTCCCAGCCGTCGCGGCCGGCACCCGCTTCCAGCAAGGGAGGCGGCAAGGGGCCCTCCAAGGGAGGCAAGCTGCCCGCCCAGCACCCCAAGGGGCGCCAGGTCTACTCTCCTGTGCGCTCGCGCAGCCCCAAGGGGAACGGTGACTGGTATGCCAAGAAGTGGGACAACACCAAGAAGGGCGACAAGAAGTGGTGAGCTGGTTCGCAAAGCGCCAGCGATGCGTCTGGGGATCACCCAGAAGCTCCCCCCCTCGCGCAAGAGACTAGCGAAGATAGTCTCGACGGGTCCGTCGGTTTTGCCACGGATCTGCATGAATTACAAGCTGAAGTGAACAGCTTGTTGCAAGATGTACATAGACTTGCTAACATGTCGCCTGTAAGCCATTTCAAGTGGGCGTTTGCCCTGCCTCCTTGCTTAGGCGTCTTCCGTGTACCTGCCAGCGCGCACAGCTCAGTTCTTCATGAAAGTGGGGACAGGAGCTCTTTACACAGTTCCCGGGCGTCTGCCTTAGCTTTCTGGCGCGAACGCAAGCGAGTGACAGATTTTGAATGGCAGCGGGAGTTCAGAACACTCCCAGCACACGTCCAAGCCGTTCTAGGTCCGGACAAAAACTTGCTTTTGCTGGCAGAGATGCTGGAGGCATCGAGTAGCCCAGACGCTCAATTAGTTAAAAATTTAAGGCGTGGTTT